CCTTGCTCGGGAAGTTGAGGACGTCTTCCGTTCCTATTGCGCGGGCCTGTTGAGGTCAGAAAGTTTCGACCTCAGGTCTTGTGTAATTGACCCGGAACCGGCGCCCAAGGCGGAGCCGGCTCCCAAAATGAAGCCACCTCCTCCATCTCTGTCGGCCAGTAAGGGCCTTCCTAGGCGATCGGCTCCTGCTGTACATACTGGGTCGGCTCACACCGCCAAGCGTCCAAGAGAGGCTGGCGGTGGCTCCACTGGGAGCGTGCAGATCCCAGGGCATTATTACGGCAAAGCCCGTACAAAGGAATCCCCTGTTCAACCCTCTGAACCGCCAATGGGCGGAGCAGGGGGGAGCGCACAGCCGTCCGCAATGGATGTGGATAAAGAGGGGAGTAAGGGTGACGAGAAGAAGGACAAAGCGGCCGATGAGGCTGCTGTAGCGTCAAAGAGCGCAAAGCCGCATCCGGCGAAAGCGTCGCGTCCCGAGGCCCTAGGCGGCTCGTTGGACGTGACACTAATCAGTGACGTACGGGAGCGTGATCGGGATATTTCCGATGACGAGTTTTCCCCTACGAACGTGTGCATGTTTCCAGAATCATGGGAGGGCGCAATGCCGACCTCCGTGATTAACAAGGCCGGAGGCTTTGAGCAGTTTAGGAACGAGCTCGTGAGGATCCAGAGAGTCCTGGATTCTCCGGCGCTGGTCGACCTTGGTAAGATCGATCTGGACGCTCTGGGCGAACCGCCCAAGGAGTACGTCTCGGATGAAGATCACGAGAGTCACGTAGATGATGATGGGATGGGCCCATATGTGGACAAATTCTCATCAATGGGCGACCGCGACCTAGTGCCCTCGAAGCAGGAGCCGCCTTACTATGAGGCAAAGGCGTGGCGTACCACTGATGAGGAAATTGAAAGGATGAAGAACCTTTTTCCATACTTTCGTGCCGAAAATTATCGGCTTATGTCCGCGAGTACTGGTCCCATAGGTACCAAGTCGCACGTACAGGGCGTCCTCCCTACAGGTGCGTCGTTGGAAGAGGCACTAATGGCAAAGCCCGGTGTGTGCCCGATTTCGAGCACCTACAACCTCACATACGAGGGTGAGGAGGTTGTGATTGATGCGCAGAGCGGGATAGCAGGCAGAATCGCCTGTCCTGCCGGTAACGACATCTTCCATTTTTTCCCCGAAATTCAGGATGTGTCGGCGATGGCTGGACGAAGCTCCAGAGAGTCGCAAATGCTGTTGGAAATTTTGTCGGGCAACACTGACCCAACGCGGCTGAATGTGAAGCCCGGTGAGCAGCCCCCCTTCTTATGTGGGACGGTTCTGGGAGGTTGGATGTCGATGACTCTAATCTCAACGCTCTTTGAGGCCCTATACGGGATCCATAAGTGCACGAGTGTCGAGGTGGCGACCTGGGCGGGCGCTCTCGCGAAAGAGAGCCCAACATACCCTCCAGTCGAGCTCCTAATACGGACAGTCTGGAGGACAGATGGCACGACTGTGCGCCCGAATGAGGTGCTTTTTGCGCGGTCCACCCTAATCGGGAGGGACGTGCCGTTCAAGTTTTCAAGCGTTGGGCGCTGCGTGACCGAACGCCTATCGGGCCATTGCTTAGGCCGATGGGAGCAGCTGAAGCCCCTTATACGGGATACGTGCTGCTGACGATGGCCGAGTATCGGTCCGCCCTCAAAACGAGGTGCATTCGGAGGCCTGGCAAATTCGCCATCACAGTTTTCCCCATGCGGCCTGAGCAGGTCTGCAGGGGGGAGATCATGATTGGGATGGAAGGCGCAAAGGTGCCTCTCCTCAAGTTGCCCAGCCCCAATAATGAGGGCGAATTTTATGTTGACGATCGAGTCAAATACATGGACAAGCGCCATGTCGTTGTGGCCATTGACCTAAAGTGGATGGCCATCGAGGAAGCCGCCGGCATCTATAAAACCCGACGCGGTTTGATTGCCGTGCGGGAAGAGATACATGCACCCTTCTGGCGCGCATGCTATCTGCACCAGGAAGGGGATGTAATATACATCCGTCCCTGGGCGGTCCGTGAGTTGAATGTTCAGGGACCGCGGAGAGGGGTGTCATTTTCATGGGACAAAGCTCCCATGCATGACTACTGGTGCCCTCGGTGCGCGCACTTGAACATGTATGGCACCATTCTATGCAATGGTTGCCATCTGCCGATTTTCTATCGTGAATGGGTGCCAGGCACCGTCCGCTCCCTGGTTAAGAATGGGCAGCCAGTCTGGCTAGAGGGACTCAAAGCAGTCCGTGCCAGTAGCTGGTACGAAGGGGAGACCGACGCGTGGGCTCCTCTCATGGCATCGGTAAACCCGATCCGCGAGGTGGTCAGCTGTATGATCTCCGGTTTGCGCTGTGCGCCGCACCTTGTGCACACTCCCAATGCGGATATTGTGCAAGTCGCGTTTCAGGAGGTTGCAAAGGTCACCTCAAAGGACACTCACGCTTGTGTGCGTGCGAGTGATGAGGCTCTCGAGCGGTGGGTAGCGAAACAGCTGCTCATCGAGGAGAGCAATACTGGCGTCTCGATTCCAGACAATATGTCTGTCATGACATATTTGATCGAGCACCCGCAGCAGGCGGCGCAATGGGGTCGTCATATGACGAGAAAGGGCAGTCTAAATTCAGCATTTGCCCTTTACCTCTCTGTGCATATTTTTGATGCCTACCGCATCGGAATTGAGGACGGGTATTTGGTTCCGCTGTATGGCCTAGGCGCCTCACGAGCGGACATCATTATGTCATTGGTACAGGCCGAGCGACGCCTCGCGGACTTCAATAGTGAGGATCCGAGTTTCGATGCCTCCACTGTTCTTGATTGGAGTATCGACTCTCTGCGGGCCAGTGGTGGATCCATCACGGCCCCAATTGAGTATGCTGAGGCATACATTTATGTCGAGGACAACAAGGTTGACATGGTCCCCGCTGCACGGCACGACGGCCAATGCGCCATTGTTTTTGCTGACCCGCCGGCTGGGAAACACCACAGGCGGGCAGCCACTCCTAGGGGAGACCAACGGTCTGCTACCCCGCGACCTGAATCCAGGTCAAAGGGGGATCAGCAAAAGGGCAAAGCCCCTGCGCAGTCCTGGCCCAAGGGTGGAGGTCACAAGGGTGACCAGTTTCCAGGAAAGGGTCACAAGGGTGACCAGTACAAAGGCAAGGGTGGCCAGTACGGCTACCAACAAGGACAGTTCGGTCGTGGCGGATCCGCCAGATCGAGAACTCCCACTGGCGGGTATCAGCCTGATGCTCGCGGGTCGGGATTCAAGGGTGCACAGGCTGCCCCTTACCCGTCCAATGTATCCCACTTTCCCAATGGGAGGGTACATGCAACAGCCCATGGCTGGCATGATGCCACAAATGTGGCCTGGCGCAATGCCGCAGGGTTGGCAATCGCACATGCAGGGTTTTTTTCGCGAGTTCGAGAATCCGAGCTCGCCGCATACCCCTACCTGGGGTGACGGTGACGAGTTGGCCGAGACTGTGCCTCCTCCCCCTGGGGACTGGAATGCCAGCAAGGGGAAGGGGCGGCACGGCGGTGGGCGACATCGGTGATAACTGAAGTCTGCCCATGCGTTTTTTAATTGCGCGACTGCGCCAACGCGCGCATGCCTTTATTCCGGTGATTTTTCCGGGAGGACTATGCTCCTTGCCATATTTCAATGATTCGGCTATTCGCCACTCCAGAATTTAATTGCATGCGTGGCTGTGCGCTATTCGCGCAAGCTGCGATGACCCGTCAGGTGTGCGTCGTCACAGCAAGGCAGTTACCCTCGCCGGCGTCTACGGCTGCTGGTGGTCGGCATCATCCAGCACCGCTGCTGCTGCTGGTGATGGAACCCATCAAGGTGCTGTGGTGAGGATCACGGATGCGCCGAACCGCTGCCGGTGAGGTCCTACTCGGACCTGAACCGCTGATTGCAGCTGGTGGTACTCCTACCGAAGGTCGTTGCGTGATCGCGCGCCTAGACGGTGCTACTTTAAAGACCAGGGTCTTGTGGTCGAAGCACCATGTTTCAACCAATGGGCCAATGCGCCTGAATAATGAATTCAGGAACTAAATCCACCTGAACCTTACGGTTCGTTGTGGTTGCATTGCAAATGTATTTTTATTTCATGCCTGCCATTCTGGAGTTGAATCTTTGTTTCTGTTTCTTTTTGCTTTCTCTCGTTTGATTTGGCTACCGGCGCGAATCCGCCCCATACCCGTAATTCGGGGTGGTGGCGGGATCCGGGCACCAAAGAGTGCCCGGGTATGGGGTCGCGAACCCTGGTAGCCTAATCGGCTTTGGTTTTCTTGTTCATTGCTTTTCAACTTCAACATGGCCAATGCGCCCTTCCAAATTCACTTCCTCTCTTTGTACAGGCGAGGGGGGTGTTTTTGGGGGCATGTACTTTTATCATAGCGTATGTCATTTCATGCCGATGTCCAATGCGACATTCGGCTCAAGCTTTTCAACCCGTCGACTCGCACCCGCAATTTCGGCGCCAAAACATCGCGGCACGTGGTGCACTTCATCAGCACGTTGTGCTGTTGCCGTGCGCCTGTGGTGGTGTCCTTGGCGGAGGTTGGTCGGGGGTATTGGTTGGGGTTGGTGCGCACTGGTTTGCTTTGCTTGCTTCGCTGCATTGTTTGCCTGCTTGGTTTGCTGCTTTGTGCTTGCTATCGGTTGTCTCTGCCCTTGCTGGGCTTCTTTACCTTGTTACAACTGGCACCCTGTTTTGGTTCGTGTTTGGCCAGCCGAGGGCAACCGCTTTGCCCTTGGGACTGGGGGGATAAGGTGGTCTCTTCTTGTTGGTGGGTTAGGGCCTGTTTTATCCATCCCGAAACTCTGTTTCAAACCCTTTCGCAGTTTGAATGGAATTCTGTGCTTCCAAGGCTTTCAGGCTCTAGGGATCAAGAACCCAGAGCCATTGCCCAGTAACAAATAACCCATGCCTTGGGTCGGAAGCTGCAAGCGGCGCCTTGGAGGACCGTGGGCTGCAGGGCCCCTTCTTCGCCACGATCTTGGCGCACCTGGCGGGGGCGCTGCTTTTGCTGGGCTTCGTGGAGGAAGCGCCGAGCATACCGCCTGTGGATGAGGCGGACTGGGGTCCGGTGGGAGGTTTCGTCGCCCTAACTCGCGGTGTGGGGTTATTGGTCGGAGGCCGAGGTGCTTCAGGGAGTTAAGGTTAGACAAAGTTGGAGAGTTGTGTTTGGGGGCAGGCTGTGCAGCGGTGATTGGAGGTAAAGTCTCATGGACCCTCTGATGGAACCACATGTGCAACATGCTGGCGTTTTGTTGATCCTTTAACCGGCTAACACACAAACCATCCCATCAGGAAAGGCTTGCATGCTGTTTGGTCATGCTTCGTGCTAAGCGTCTCAGCAAAGCTACGGGTGTGCAGGGCAAGGCGCCGGAGGAAGATGCGCAGGAGGAGGACTGGCCTCTCGCGCGCAAGGCGGGGTAGAGAGGATGGAAGAGCTGATGAGATGAAATCCCAAATCCGATGTCAGCGGATTCAGTTCCAAGCCCCAGCCAGCACCAGCCAGATCTTGGCAGGGTTTGTGGTGACAGCTTGCCACAGACTCTGCGGCTACCATGCCTGGCTTGCTGTCTTCTTGTTGGTTTATCACTTGACGATGTGCTCCCAGTCACATGGAGAGGATTGAGTACCCTTGCATCTGGATGTAGAGAAGTGCTATTTTCCCTCCCATTCAACATTCTCGTCGACTGAAGCACAGATGACCTTGCCTTTGATGGTTGAATTTGTGAGCAAACAAAGATTCTGTTTGAAGAAATCAGTTTAGCGGTGTGAGTATTTGGAGTGTTAGGACCACGCTCGATGTGGGGCGGAGGTCCATGGGGCTGTTTGTCTGAAAGCAGCTGGCAATAAATACAAACTGGGGCAGTTCTCCTTCGCCCGCAGAGCTTTGGATTCACTGTGTCATCATCCCCTCCTTTCTGGATACTACGCAGCAGCTGTTATCCACGCCGAAGCCAGACCATGTCTGGAAGCTGGCCAGATTGTGCGAGCGGTTCCCATGAACCAACACAATTGCAGTGACATGGCGTGACATGGCCAGGTCTTTGCCATCTCCTTCTTCTACGTGGTGAGCCAGACCTGCTTCTCCTTCTTCATGCCTTTGCTGCTGCACGACCTTTTCGGTTCCCAGCCCCAGACCATCGGAGCCTTCCTCACCGGCACCAGCCTCGTAGTGTTCTTCTGCCAGGCGCGACTCTGGCTGCCAGCCGGGCAGTGGACACGCAACCCAACTTGCTTGTGAGTGGAGAAGTGGACAAGTGCAAAAACCTTTGGAGAGCTCCCTAGTGACGCGTTCCTGGATTTCGAGCATGGGGCAGCCGCCGGATTTCTTGCAACATGTGGGCAGGGCACCCGATCACCGTGGGGCAGGAGGAAGGAATGAAACAGGAAATACAACCAATGCTTTCTCGCCCTTTTCCTTCTTGGCTTGATTTCTGTGGCTCCTCCTCGTTGTTGCATAGTGGTTTGATTCGGCATCTTTGCGGTACAAGGCAGGTTCCCACACGCCAACCAGCGGTTCATTGGGCTTGAGGGAACCAGGAACTGACGAGGTGTTTCGGCTCGGAGGGAACCATGACCAATGACTTCCATTTGCTTAAGAGTATTCTTTATATTTCCCCTGTTGGTCTTAAAGCTGGACATAGTTTCTCATTTTTTCCAGGGGTCGAAAGACCAAATGGAAGATGAGTTTGGACCGAACCATGGCCGAACTGACGAGGTGTTGCTTGGGCTTGGAGGGAGCCATGACCAATGAGTTTTCCATGACCGACCATGTAAGGCTTTAGGGTTTCCAAAAGACCAGGTGTTGGGTTTGAGGGAAGCGAGCGATGAGTCGTGATGCAGGTGGTGGTCTATAAGAGGCTGGAGAAGCGCTTCGGCCTGGAGGTGACCGGCGCGCTGGGCGCCGCGGCCATCTTTCTAGGCAAGACAAGTGGCGAGCGAGAGTCGGGGTGCGTGGTTTGTGGTGGTCAGTTTTGGGTGGAAGAGGAAGAACCTGAAGTGGGAGTGAGTGAGGTTTAGTTTTTTTTTTTTTTTTTTTTTTTTTTTATTTGTTTTTTGAGGTTAGTTTTTTTTTTTGCGAGTGAGGTTTAGTTTTTTTTTGGCTGGTATGTCCAATTATTGCCACCTTGCGCTTGAACCACGTGTCTACATTCAGTCGGGTGCGGGTCACCTAACGTCAACCCCCCTCTTGCGAATCAGTTCCGTGCTGGAAGCAGACTCTGGGCGCCGGCAACATGGAAAGTTGTCTGAGCTACAACAATTCCTCTCAAGGGCACACCAGCTGCTTCCAAATACAGGTTGGCCGAGTGCAGCGCCTGGGAAACCCGATGGCCGTGGGCTCGGCTCCGGTGTTGGACGGGTCGATCTCCAGGAGACCTCCTCAAACCAGGTCCAACCCTGGAAGTCTAGTCTTGAAAGAATTCGCTCACACAGGACAGTGACGTGAGGTTGATCTTTTTTCGGTGGGGACTCCTCGGGTAGCCAGTGTAACACTATGTTCAAACCCAACAAACCTTTTCACCATGCACAACTTGGGGGGGGAAGACGAAAATGGGGGTGATGGGTTGCTCCGGCGCGGTGAGACCTGGCAGCTGGCAGGCCTGGTGACGCTGAGCCTGCGGCCGCAGCTGCTGCCGCTCGCGGCGGCCTTGTACGCCTTCGGGTCCGCGACCTTCCCGGCCACGGTGCCCACGCTGCTGGCGAAGAGCGTGTCCAAGGGCAACCGGGGCAAGGCCCCTGGGCGGGGAGGTGGCGGTTGGCGGTGCGAGGGGGGTCCGGGGGGGATGGGGAGGTGCAGAGGTTGCCGACCTTGAGCATTTGGTATTTTGGGGGCCGTTGAATGCTTTTCGCGTGAGCGCCTGTTTGTATTGGACCGAACTTCAACGTTGAGCAATCACATGCTTGTTTCTTGAACCGAGTAACCGTGCAAAGCAAGTCTCATGATCAGGAGCCAACATGTTCTCTTGACTGTTCTTCACCTTGAATATGTGCCACTATGTGTAAGGATCAAGTAGACCAGATAGGTGCGCCAACAAACTGGCAGTCACGCGAGGCGCCCCTCCGTGCCGCAGTGGAGGCACCAAAGGGTGCGGTTTTTAAACAGAAGTAGAGGTGTCTTGTTGCTTTGGCTGCCCCGTTGGATAAGGCTCCTCTGCCATTGACCGATTGGCTTCTTCCCCTCGGTTTGCACCAGTGCTTGGCCATCGTCAGGTGCTGGGCATGGACTCAGTGATCAACAACGTGGGCCGGGTGATCACGCCCTTGGGTCTGGGGGTGCTCTACGGTATCTCGCCCTCCCTGTGCTTCATGGTGGGGGGCTGCGCCTCCTTAGTGGTTGTCCAGCTGCTGAGGGGTCACATCGCCAAGAAAGGAAGAGATACCTTGGACATCAAGATGTCATCCAAGTAGCGTCTGCGCAGGAAAGGCTCGGAATGGAAACATCCGAGATCTGCAGGTGGATGGCTTCCCTTTGGTGCGCTTTGATCGCTGTGGGTGCCTTCGCGTTCCGGCGCGCGCGCGCGCCGCGCGCGTCGCGCGTCGCGCGTGCCGCACCCGAAGGGTCGGACACGAGGCGGCCTGGGGAAACTTGGGTTGTGGGCCTATGCGGTGCGAAAATGGCACCCTCTGCGGCTCCGAGTCGAGACGCCTGAAAGTGCGGGGTTATGTTCACCCTGGGATTGTCGGAACCTTCGAGTTCTGAAGATTGGGACCCTCAAGATACTGGTTGCCACCGCATAGTGCGCCTATTGAAAGACCAAGTAAGGGGTTCTTCCTTTTCTCGTTGCTTTGGGCGGAACCGGGTTGCAAAGTCTGACATGTAAGCCTACTGGGTGCGCACAATAAAGTCTGGAAGCCGAAACATGTCCGGCCCGTTCACTTTCGGAGGTGTGCGTGTCCTCCAATTCGGCATATCCAGTTCGGGACTCCTATAGAGCGCTCCGTTTCCACATCGGCCGAGCCATCCTCCAAGAACGACCACCCAAACGAAGCGTTCCCCAACGGCCGCATGGGGCACAAAGGTCTCCCTCTCCGCTGCCAGGAAGCCGAGACACCTCAAGGCATGGCCCGCGGGTTGCTGGGAAGCCCAGCGTGGCCTGTGCCCGAAGGCAGACAGAAACACGTGGCACATGTCAAGCCAACGTGTGCTAGATGGCGGGATTCCTGTAGCTGGGGGATTCTGCGTGATAGCCGACATTTTACAGGCCTTGCGCCACATGTTCGTTGCGAACGAGCCACGTGAATCACCAAGCGTCACCACACAAATAAACATCTCAACGCTCAGCTTCGTACTGGTGTTGGGATTTTGATTGCTCGTTTTGCTTTTCTGTCGTAGGTGACCCGAACTGAAGTGACCAAGCTTGCAGGCTGAGTTAAAGGCAAACCTATGACCCATCTGCTTTTTGCTCTTGACGACCTGCGCACGCAAGGCTCATGGATCACATTGGGATTTCTATTTCTTTGGTGAGTGTCTCAAAAACTTCGAACCCCTTCCAGCCATCCAAGACCCTGTTTGAGGGAAACCCAGGTTGCATTGAACCCGCCCGATTTTGCAAGGTCGCGGCACCGTGGCTCCGACCTGGGCCGGGGGTGCCCAGAGCTTGGACCCGTCGGTCTTCCAGCGGATTCCCCTGGAAAACCACCTGAACTGTACCCAAAAATGAGACACCCAGGTCTTTTCAAGGAGCGGACACTCTGAGTCGTCCCTCGGTTTGGCAGTGGGCGCTGGCCTGGAGGGTGAGAGAGTTCTTGGCGCAATCTGAGCTTTGTTCGCTTTGAGGGAAGCGTTCCTCGTGAAGCTTTGTGAGACACCGGGATTTGACACAGGCGCTTCTTTGGGCCATGTTAAGGGCACTCGATCTTCGTCGCTGAAAGGCCCTTGAAGTACAGCGGCTCCCATCGCGTGCGACTCATACGAGCACTCCAGTCCCTGAAGCCATTGGCAGACCTCGAGGCTTGAGGCCATCTAGGTTTCTGAGGTCCTTTGCGGTCTCCACACTTATTCCAAGAATTTGAGGGTGCTACAAGTGGGCCAGAATCAAACAACCAAAAGGTCCCGAAACTTTGCCCACCCCGCCATTTGGGCGTGGCTCAAAACTGAAGCCAGGAGGGGCCAACGGCAGGTCTTGGTACCCATGTCTCCACTGGCCGATCGGGCCACCCATTTTGGAATTCCGGTTTTCTGGGCCAAAGCCAGTGGGCTTCCAGCCTCGAAGGCGCCTTCAGCTTCTTCATGAAGCGAGCCCAGATGGAGGGCGAGGCCTCGCCAGGTGCGCAGGGGGTGGGGATGGCTTGGCAGAGTTTTGTTTTTCTTTTGTGGATGGGGAGGCTGCAAAATGTGGTGGGATTGGGGTAGACTGCAAATGTGAGAAAAAGTCTGGACATTGGCAGTCTTGCTGTAGAGCTTTCTTTGTGCAAACTGGGGGCGCGGGGAAGACGGGAAGGGCTGCCTGAAAAACGCCCCGCCAGGCTTTCACTTTGGCCTGGGCTCCTCCTCGTGCCTTGCCCGGCTTAGGGGGTCCAAGGCCTCGGCCATCCGTTTTTTTTTTTTTTTTTTTTTTTTTTTTTTTTTTTTTTTTTTTTTTTTTTTTTTTTTTTTTTTTTTTTTTTAAATTTTTATTACGGGTTGTTTTGGGGGGCAAAATGACATTTCACCAGGGGACGGCAGGTTTTTCAGGCCTGGTTTCCATTTACCGTTACCAGGGTTCCCTTCCGGGTACCTGTGTTTGACCCACACCCAAAGGACCTTTGATCTCAGCGGCGCCTCATTGATGGCTCGTTGGCCCGGAGGCGGTTGATTGGCGATGCCGGGTGGTTTAGATCCCAGAGGGCCAGAGGGTCGAGTTATGTCACACAATGGCAAGAAGTCTGACATCGGTTTTTGTTTTTTGCAATGGCCGGCTGAGTGAAGAGGGGGCGAGAAGTAGCGCCTCACAAAGCCCAGCAAAGTCTACAAGGCTTGAATTCACGAATGGATACTGCAAGTTGCAGTATGACATCGCCTGAGTTGAAGGCTCCCTGCATTTGTTCAGCTCTGATGGAAGCATTGCGGATTGCGCGGTGGCGGCCTTGAATGGCGAGCGGGGATTCTTGAAGGGTTGTCCAACTGTAGGATTCACTGTGCTTGGCCGGCAGTTGGTTTGACACCCAAAAGCCAGTTGTTTGGTTGAGCGCGCCGAGTTTGCAATTGCATCGCATGAGCGAACCTGCGAATATGCGAGCAGGCTTTTGATGCCAGCGGGTCATGGGTTAGGGACCAGGGCAGGGAGTTATTCTCAAATGAGCTATGGTCAGCCGGGACGCAACTCACAATTGCACAGTCCATATTTTTACAGCACCAAAGAAGCCAGCAGCGAGGCGGCAAATCCGACGCGGCGTTTTCTTAACCCCCGGTTTTGATGGTGTTGGTTTTTCCTCGCTTCCCAAACCGGAGAACCTAGCCACAGTTCGCCACTGACTCAAGTGGCAAGAGGATTCCAGCCACCGGATCCGCAGACCCGCTGCTCAGGTCGTCCTCGTCCCAGTTCTCCCCGCTGCTGCGGGACTTGAAGAGCGAGGCGCCGTGATCGGTAGTTGGAAGCGGGGGTTGCTCCATGGGTCTTGGCAGTTCAGGAACTCTTGTGCGGCTGAAGGCACAAGATGCTTCATCGCTGACCAATCACAGAGAGCTGGCCAAGCCCGGCATAGTAAGAATGCAACCTTCAAGTATTCCAACAACTTGACACCAAAATGACACCAAAAGAGGGTCCACCCGGTCGCGATTGACATAGTCGCACGTGCCAGGATGGGCTTTGAACCACAATCAAAACCCGGGTTTTGGAGGGTTCAGGACAGCCAAAGATAGGCACAGATAGCGGTTTTGTCATTCTTTACACGAGTTCGGGTACGAGGCTTTCTTCAGAAAGGTTTCATCCAGCCTCCGGGCTGACCGAGCGCGGATTCCATCACAGGTTGCCGTATTCTGCGCACT